TGCAATTTATACATTTGTTGACCGGCTTACAAAATGTGTCCATTTAGTCCCCACGACTTCCAAAATTGACGCTAAGGGTTCTGCTGATTTGTATCTCCAGAATGTGTTTAGATTACACGGTTTGAGTTCCACTATTGTTTGTGATCGGGACCCAAGATTTACTTCTGAATTTTTCCGGGAATTGTTTCATCAATTAGGTACCACCTTGTCGTTTAGTACTGCCAATCACCCACAGACCGATGGGCAGACTGAGAGAATGAATAGAGTAATTGAGGATGTGCTTAGAGCGTTTGTTAACCACAAACAAGATAATTGGGACAAGCTTCTGCCTCTTTGCGAATTTGCAATTAATAGTTCATATCAGTCTTCCACTTCTAGCACGCCGTTTTATCTAAATTATGGACTTAATCCCAAGTCCCCACCAGATTTCCTGGCACGGAGGGGAGGAGGGAGTGCCCCAGACTGGATCCAGGACCGGGCGGATGCCGTCAAGTTGGCAAAGGACGCCATGATTGCCGCTCAGGCTAGACAAGCTCAGTATGCAGACAGGGGAAGGGTGCCCAGCAACCTGAAGGTTGGCGACATGGTGCTGGTGTACAAAGATTTCCTAACAACCGCAGAAGCCCGGGATCAGCCTTCACAGAAGCTACGCCCTAAGTGGTTCGGGCCCTACCCAATCATCAAGAAGATCGGACCCAACGCCTATCAGCTGGATCTACCCAGCGCTATTCAGTGCCACCCTGTCTTCAATGTCACTGCTCTGCGCCGGTATGAGCAGAATACTATTCCCGGCAGGCGGCAGCCACCCCCGCCACCGTTCACTGACTTGCACGGTCAGACCAGATACATGGTGGAGAAGATTCTTGACGATCGCCAGCGAAGGCATCAGACTCAGTACCTTGTCAAGTGGCAAGGGTACCAAGACGACGAAGCCACCTGGGAGCCAGAAGGGAACTTGCTGGACGAGGCCAGTAGGCCGATAGTTGCTCTGAGGCGTTACAGGGCGTCCAGGGCATGTCAGTGACACTATGGTTACCGCGAAATGTTACTCGCTCAAATTCAATTGCACGTGTACCTTGAGAATTCCCACTTGATCCTTGTTGTGTTAAGCAATCCATTCCCCTCCTGTTTTAGATTTTTCCCCATTTCCGTTTTCTTCACTCGCCTGACTGTTATTGGTTACCTTGTACGGTGCTTCAATTAGATGAGCGTTGTTGGGTTGACACGATTTCATTTTGATTATTCCCTTTCCACATATTCCTCGACTCCCTGGAGGCACCTGTGCCTCGCTTAGGAGGAAGGGATGGTGTAACAGTTCCCTGTTAGCGCTAACCTTATCTGCCCTCTAGCTCTGTATCTTGCACCTTTCCCTATCCTGTCAGCACTCGCGTTATCACCTTAGGGCACGAAGTGCCCTATATCAGTTGTATTGCCTTGAGCAAGCATTGTCTTTTCCAAGAATACCTTCAAACGGTTACAGCCTCGCTGTTTCACCATATCACCATCTCACTGCCTCACTGTTTCACCATATCACCATCTCACTGCCTCGCTGTTTCACCATATCACCATCTCACTGCCTCGCTGTTTCACCATATCACCATCTCACTGCCTCGCTGTTTCACCATATCACCATCTCACTGCCTCACTGTTTCACCATATCACCATCTCACTGCCTCGCTGTTTCACCATATCACCATCTCACTGCCTCGCTGTTTCACCATATCACCATCTCACTGCCTCGCTGTTTCACCATATCACCATCTCACTGCCTCGCTGTTTCACCATATCACCATCTCACTGCCTCGCTGTTTCTCCATATCACCATCTCACTGCCTCGCTGTTTCACCATATCACCATCTCACTGCCTCGCTATTTCACCATATCACCATCTCACTGCCTCGCTGTTTCACCATATCACCATCTCACTGCCTCGCTGTTTCACCATATCACCATCTAACAACCACACAATACTATCTCCCTCACACAAAATCACACAGAGTCACGTGTACCGCATTCAAGTACTCGTGTGTTCTATGTGTGCCCCACGCATGTGCATGTGACGTCATGCGTGGATTGGGTTTTGGCTCCTTGCTGGCATTTCAGGCTTTCGTTACTCAGTATGTTCTTTACGCTTCTGTTCTGGCAACTGGTGTCTTTGGTCATTGCTCTGTTCTGTTCTTACTACTCCCTGCTATTACTCTAAGTGCTGTTCACACGGCTGTAGCATTGTTGCTATTATTCTAAGTGTCATTCACATGGCTGTAGCATTGTTGCTATTACTCTAAGTGTCATTCACACGGCTGTAACATTGTTGCTATTACTCTAAGTGTCATTCACACGGCTGTAGCATTGTTGCTATTACTCTAAGTGCCATTCACACGGCTGTAGCACTGTTGCTATTACTCTAAGTGTCATTCACACGGCTGTAGCATTGTTGCTATTACTCTAAGTGTCATTCACACGGCTGTAGCATTGTTGCTATTACTCTAAGTGCCATTCACACGGCTGCAGCATTGTTGCTATCACTCTAAGTGTCATTCACACGGCTGTAGCATTGTTGCTATTACTCTAAGTGCCATTCACACGGCTGTAGCATTGTTGCTATTACTCTAAGTGCCATTCATACGGCTGTAGCATTGTTGCTATTACTCTAAGTGTCATTCACACGGCTGTAGCATTGTTGCTATTACTCTAAGTGCCATTCACACGGCTGTAGCATTGCTGCTATTACTCTAAGTGCCATTCACACAGCTGTAATATTGTTGCTATTACTCTAAGTGCCACTCACACGGCTGTAGCATTGTTGCTATCACTCTAAGTGTCATTCACACGGCTGTAGCATTGTTGCTATTACTCTACGTGCCATTATCACGGCTGTAACATTGTTGCTATTACTCTAAGTGTCATTCAAACAACTGTAACATTGTTGCTATTACTCTAAGTGCCATTCACACGGCTGTAATATTGTTGCTATTACTCTAAATGCCATTCACACGGCTGTAACATTGATGCTATCACTCTAAGCGCCATTCACACGGCTGTAAAATTGTTGCTATTATTCTAAGTGCCATTCACACGCCTGTAGCGTTGATCCTATTACTCTAAGTGCCATTCACACGGCTGTAGCATTGTTGCTATCACTCTACGTGTCATTCACACGGCTGTAGCATTGTGGCTATTACTCTAAGTGTCATTCACACGGCTGTAGCATTGTTGCTATCACTCTAAGTGTCATTCACACGGCTGTAGCATTGTTGCTATTACTCTAAGTGTCATTCACACGGCTGTAACATTGTTGCTATTACTCTAAGCGCCATTCACACGGCTGTAGCATTGTTGCTATTACTCTAAGTGCCATTCACACGGCTGTAACATTGTTGCTATTACTCTAAGTGTCGTTCACACGGCTGTAGCATTGTTGCTATTACTCTAAGTGCCATTCACACGGCTGTAACATTGATGCTATTACTCTAAGTGTAATTCACACGGCTGTAACATTGTTGCTATTACTCTAAGTGCCATTCACACGGCTGTAACATTGTTGCTATTACTCTAAGTGCCAATCACACGGCTGTAACATTGTTGCTATTACTCTAAGTGCCATTCAAACGACTGTAACATTGTTGCTATTATTCTAAGTGCCATTCACACGCCTGTAGCGTTGCTCCTATTACTCTAAGTGCCATTCCCACGGCTGTAGCATTGTTGCTATCACTCTAAGTGTCATTCACACGGCTGTAGCATTGTGGCTATTACTCTAAGTGTCATTCACACGGCTGTAGCATTGTTGCTATTACTCAAAGTGTCATTCACACGGCTGTAGCATTGTGGCTATTACTCTAAGTGTCATTCACACGGCTGTAGCATTGTTGCTATTACTCTAAGCGCCATTCACACGGCTGTACCATTGTTGCTATTACTCTAAATGCCATTCACACGGCTGTAACATTGTTGCTATTACTCTAAGTTTCGTTCACACGGCTGTAGCATTGTTGCTATTACTCTAAGCGCCATTCACACGGCTGTAGCATTGTTGCTATTACTCTAAATGCCATTCACACGGCTGTAACATTGTTGCTATTACTCTAAGTGTCGTTCACACGGCTGTAGCATTGTTGCTATTACTCTAAGTGCCATTCACAGGGCTGTAACATTGTTGCTATTATTCTAAGTGTCATTCACACAGCTGTAACATTGTTGCTATTACTCTAAGTGGCGTTCAAACGAATGTAACATTGTTGCTATTACTCTAAGCGCCATTCACACGGCTGTAGCATTGTTGCTATTACTCTAAATGCCATTCACACGGCTGTAACATTGTTGCTATTACTCTAAGTGCCAATCACACGGCTGTAACATTGTTGCTTTTACTCTAAGTGCCAATCACATGGCTGTAACATTGTTGCTATTACTCTAAGTGCCATTCAAACGACTGTAACATTGTTGCTATTATTCTAAGTGCCATTCACACGCCTGTAGCGTTGCTCCTATTACTCTAAGTGCCATTCACACGGCTGTAGCATTGTGGCTATTACTCTACGTGTCATTCACACGGCTGTAGCATTGTTGCTATTACTCTAAGTGCCATTCACATGGCTGTAGCATTGTTGTTACTACTCTAAGAGTCATTAACCCGGCTGTAGCTCTGTTGCTATTACTCTACGTGTCATTCACACGGCTGTAGCATTGTTGCTATCACTCTAAGTGTCATTCACACGGCTGTAGCATTGTTGCTATTTCTCTAAGTGTCATTCACACGGCTGTAGCATTGTTGCTATTACTCTAAGTGTCATTCACGCGGCTGTAGCATTGTTGCTATTACTCTAAGTGTCATTCACACGGCTGTAGCATTGTTGGTATTACTCCAAGTGTCATTCACACGGCTGTAGCATTGTTGGTTATAGCTTAGACTGGTCATGTAACACACAGCACTACGCAATATCGTTATAACTAAGAGTTTCATGGCCATACTCCATAGGCAATCATCAGACAACTATCAATACTCCATCTCTTCAGATCAAACAAGAAGGGTATGCAGCAGCAGTTATAAAAAAACGAGTTTTGAAACATTTCTAAAATAAAGATACTAACAGAAAACACCACGAAAGATGATAGAAAGAAAACAGTACCTCGGACAATGTGCTCATTCTTCATTGTATCCAAAAGTGACATAAAAAAACTTTTTGATGTATTGCGATACTAAGCAGCGAGACATTTCGCTGAAATGCAATAGATTTTCAGAGAAAGGAAAAAGAGCACGCAGCTAACACAATCAATAGAATCATCCTCTGCACATCGAGAATAGGATTGTAACAATGAGAGTGATCCAAGTACCATGTATATATACAACTCAGGGCAGGAGTTTATAAGCAAATGCATGCATACACACACGCATACACAAACACACATACACACACACACACACACACACACACACACAAACAAATGCACACACAAACACATACACACATATGCAAGCACACATTCAATCATGCAAGCATGATAAACAGTAATTGGCAATGTTCATCAGTTCATCATCTTAATCAGACATGTTGGAACTGCTCCAGTCGGTCAGGACTTGGCTGGATCTACTGTTCGCCTGCCCAATGCATGTTAGCTACTGGGTAGGTTATGCATACTCGATGTGTCACACAACCAAAACTGAAATACTATAGTAAAGCCTGAGCAAACAAAACTGCTAATACTGGTCCTGTTCTTGTTTCACAGCAGTGAGAAACATTAGTGTAGAACAAGAAACAAGATGCTCCAGGACAACAGTTAGAACATTGTGATACGGTGTTTGCTAGTGTCACTAACATACACAGTACCACTGGGTGATACTGCAATGCCGGACGGACGAGAAAGACAACTGCTTGCACCGAAGGTAGCAACGTGAGAGAATGTGTCAGAAGCGAACAC